GATAGTTATCTAGAGCAGTGTATTTAATGGTGGGTATTGAGGATTTTTGTGTATGTGTGTATTGTAATTATTCATATCAGGTGTTCATATGATTGATGCTTGTCTCAACTGGTGTCTTGTGTCTAAAAGTGATGTTCTCTTTCCCAAAAATATCCAGCCTTATCCAAACATTGTTGTAAACATGTGGATCTCCCCTCCCCCTAAAAATGCCTAAAATTGTGCATGCTCAGCATGTGCATAATATCTGCATATCATTAATCAGGGGTGCACACAGACTAATAAAGGAGCAAACACCCCCTCCCATTAGGACCTGAGTGATCATTCAGGATCCCAGTCCCAGTTTGTTTAGGAGTGACTGTCAAGGACCTAAAGGATTGGCAAGGATCTGAAACATGATAGGCCACTGCACTGTTCCAGGCCACACAGTGCCTATCACTGTTTAAAACCAACCTCATCTAATAGTGGGGCAGAATTACATGCAATTTGAGGGACCATCCCCTGAGCCTTAGCCAGCTCAAGGATCCACTTGCCAGGTATGAGATGGGTACCCAGTTGAGGTTCCCCCTTATGGCATTTTCTGGGCCCACTCTAGCAGGTATTTGCAGGCTGTCAGGACAGGCTGCACAACAAGCTGGTTAATGCGAGTATGCAGGATAAGGCAAAAAGAAGAGAACTTGGTTGGATGTCAAGTACAAGTCCTGTTTTGTGCCACGTAATGCAAGAATTTGGGTATCCTTACTGGTTGTGATGGAAATAAAGGCTTGCAATCAAATAGCTTAAGGTAGCATCACATGATTACATGGATTCAAGAAGGCAATTTAAACTTACTGATAAATATGCAAGAACAAATGAGAAGGGGTCGAAACGCAGGCAGGTGACACTATTTGATTCAGCACCGCGACTGCCATATCACCATGGCAGCCATAGCCACCTCTGGGGCGATTGAAGTACTACAAGTGAGTGTTAGGGTGGAAATTTCTCATGGCTGGATTGGCAGTATTGCAACGTTATACAAATACTCCCCAACTTATTGTATTAATGATGTGTAGAGGCATGCACTTACAAAACATCTTTTGGTGTTCCCTAGAGCATTCTTCTCCACTTAAAAGTATCCTGAAAGTTATAAAGTGGGCTTATTTTAGCTGAAAACGCTCGATTTCGGAAAAATGTGACTTGACCTGGCATAGTGGGGTGAATTGCTTACCTCGCAAGGTAAAACCCATAACTAATCGTGAGACCTCGGGAAGATCAATCAAATAGTATTTTCCACTAACTCTGTCTCTCTTAGTTTTGGATATGGCAGGGGGCATTGGCATTGCCCCCCTGTTTGTCTGTGCTGTGAAAACGTGCGAACCAGGGCGAGGGTCGATCCATTCCGTCACTGGCGCAATTTGCAAATGAGCTGGTGTCTGAAATTCGGAAACAGCGCAACCTTTTCTCAGACTACGCCAACAGACAGGTTTCTCCCTGGATTTGGTTCACTTTCTGCCCAAGGCTGCTGGGCTCGAGGCTATGATGGGCGGGGGACCAATCTCTCCCCCTCCAACTGCAGAAGGAAGTTTTTTTGTTGTTTTTTTCGTTAAATTTGATCCGAGCCCTTTTAATGGATGGATTTCTGGGATCAGCGCTCACGCTAAGCAGTGCTTGTTGTGTGAGCCCTGACCTCTACGATCCGATCGTGCAATTCCAGGCAACGGCAGAATTCAGTGGCGAAAGATCAACGTGCCGCAATGTTCGGCACGGTCCGTCGTGCCCTCTGACGTCAACTGACCTTTAGCGCGAGGGCAAATAGCGAGCGCTGTGGGGCGACTCGAACCCACCCTTGCCGCGGGGTGGGCGGATCGGAAGGCAGGCGCTCTAACCAACTGAGCCACCGGGACGGACGCATCTTTAGTTCATCTTAGCTTAGTAGATGCTTACATCTTTGGCTTCCGTTCATTGATTTGAAAGTCACGCTGATCACACGTACCCCCGGGTAGCTCTATACGCACGATTCGCAACACGCATTGCTGCGTAGAGCGCCCAAAGGTGTGTCTTTCAGATGTGAGATCGCCTTTGTCCGCCCGTTGGCTGCCGCCAAGTGTCTACCCCTGGACCGGACATCACATGTGCCATGGAGAACTGCAACCCTGCAAACTGTCTGTTGTTTTTTATAGCTTTTTAGGCTTGCGAGCACGCATGCTCAAAAGCGTTATTTAATATTTCACCATGCTGGGTCTGAAGTAAGGATGATCATCCAGGGAACATTGTTTGGCCATGTCAAAACAATTTTTGACCTTTTTCGATCTGAAATCTATGTGCAGTCCACGGAATCCTCAATATCTATGAAGCACCCCGAAAAATTCCGGCAAAGCCCTTGAGTGGTATCCGTTTTTAGAAGTAGCCTACCGATCCATTGTTAACTGAATAGTGCTGGCTGGATGGAGTTATTTGACGTTTGGGTTCTCCAGTTCATTTATTGACATCACATTACAAATAAATTGCGTCTTCCATTGGTTTTTGGCTACCGTTTCAATTAAAGGGGGTGTTCCACATTTCGAGGAGGTTTTGGACTGAACTAATCGCCTTGAAGATTAATCGCTGCAGTTCACAGCCCTGCCCTTCCGAAGACCTAAATCGCTCTAGTTTCTGCGCTTCACGCCCTCGAAGATGGGGGACTGCAAGGTCACCCAGGCATCCATGACGCCATAATAACGTCATTCAAATTCTGTATTCCATTAGCATGCGGCTGATTAAGGCCAGTAACAATATAATTGTTGGGTCATTCATTTTTGGCGTTCATGAGCACACTTTGTTGATATAACAGCCGTCAATGGACTCAGTGAATGTTGCGCAGGTACGATGACTAAATCAAGCTTTGACGTCTTGGGGAGCGTATTAGTATAACAGAGAAATTGTGTTATCTAGAGCAGTTTTTCCATTTCAAGGCATATCAGTATTTATAAATTAGCTTATGTCATCATGTCTGATGCTTGCTTTGATATCATCAAGTGTGGGATATTCCCTTACAGAAGGTAAAAGCATGAATGGGATGGAGAAAATCGCAAGATCACGCTCCTCGAAATAGAGTGGGCGAAATCCGCTGATTTCGTGGATCTAATCATCAGCAGGGGCCCTTTGTCAAAACCCTGTCCCCGTACCCCACACCCCATTCTTATCCATTGTCTGGATGCGGCCTTTCCTAGAATGCAGTGAGATCGCCAGTTGCTGCTTATGCTCTTAAATGGTGCTGGCATCACACTCTTCTACAGTGTACTTTTTATGGTAACCATTACCTTCTGGCGATTCAAGCTTGAAAAGCATGTTGGAGCCGGAGTCTTCGCAATCACAGCGTATCGCGACAACACCATGCTATTCTTTCTTCTCTCTCTGTCCATTACGCACAGGTACCTGATGTCGGTCCCAGTACACACTTTTCAGGTAGCCTGCTAGGTGCACGGTGTGGACACCACCGGTGACCAGCCAGTGCATGTGGACTACTGTCCAGCTCCTGCTCACCACCGTCCGTCCCGGAGCGGGCTCTGCGCGCCGTCTGCCTCGCCCGGCATGCTTCTGGCCGCCCGCCGCGCGCGCGGGCAGTGACCGGCGCCCGGCGGTCATGTCCGCGGGCCGCGGAGGGGCGCCGCTGGCGCAGGAGAGCCGGCCCGAGCGGGCGGCCGCTCCAGAGGAGCCGGGCGCGGGCCCTGGGCTGGCGGCCCCGTCGGCGGGCGGCGGACCCGACGCCCCTGAGCCGGCCAGGCGGCTGGAGCTCCGGCCGCTGGGTCGGCACAGCCCCAAGCGGAAAAGTGAGGCGTCCGCTGACCGTGGGAAGGTGGATGGTGGTGAAGATGGTGCTGGCCAAACATCCGGGAATGGCGTAAAGAAGGGGAAGTTTGGCTCGCGTGAAAAACCAAGGGAAAACACAGGTATCAACTCTGAATGAATCACGGGGTTGAACCATGAAAGCACAAGCACTCTATGTATGTATCTATGTTGTATCTATGTATATCTATGTATGTATCTATGTTAACTGTGTATCATGGTTACATGGCTGTTTAGTATTTTAATGATAAAACATGTAGCACATGTTATGTCACTCCTCATGTCACGAATCACCTTGGCACCTCAATTCTTGATTCAGTGGTTTTACATTCAGAGTCATCGACTGTTTTGATATGGAGGTTCCAGGCTGCACCATTAAACAGAACTTAGACGAATATGCGAGGGTAGCAATAACACATCATGTTTCGAGCTTTACATAGGTGCATATGATAGGAGAGATGCCTTTAATGTGGATTCAGACCGGAAACCACTGGTGGTCTTTTTAGTCCTGTCATTTGGTTAAACCATCTTCAATAGCGGCATGTTTGAGACCTTTCTAGTATGGATGGTAACCATTCCCCTCGGTTCCAGTGTCGGCAGAAGAAATGCTGGAGAAGATTCGAGTATGGGAAGCAGTGCCTTTGAAGCCAAATGCGAGGTCCACTGAAGGTGACCAATATGTACAATTTGTTGCCAGCCCACCATCTATGCCTGGGTTGTGTGGTGTTTAATGTTTTAACTTTTGACTGTTCACTAAATGTGGAAGATTCCCACTCATAGTCATTAAGCAGTCATTTTAGCAGTGTTTAATGCAAACGATCCCCATCAGTTGGATTTCAATGAGTCTGTGCCATGCCAATAATTGTTCCTGTTGTGGTTTCCCTAAGTATTTGGATGCCAGTCCACCACTGACAGCTTCTGTTGCGTGCTCAGATAGGTCAACCATTCCATTTGTGTGCCTCAAGGTGCCTCTGATTTCCTTTTGGCTTGATATGCTGCCTTAGTATACAGCATGGACGTGAACTTGAGAGGCCTCAAAAACTATTTTCCAATGTTATTTAGGCTTGGGCAAAAAACTACTGCTGTGTCGCGATGCTCGTCTTCAGGCACATATTGATGTCTTGACACTGTCTCGATCGCGTCCCCAATGGGCCATACGTGATGTGTGTGCGGTTGCTGTCGGGTGTGTGCGATTGCTGTCGGGTGTGTGCGGTTGCTGTCGGGTGTGTGCGATTGCTGTCGGATGTGTGCGGTTGCTATCGGGCGCGGCTGCTGTCGAGTGCGTGTGGCTGCTGTCGGGTTTGCGATCGCTGTCGGGTGTGTGCGGTTGCTGTCGGGTGTGTGCGGTTGCCGTCGGGTGTGTGCGGTTGCTATCGGGCGCGGTTGCTGTCGAGTGCGTGTGGCTGCTGTCGGGTTTGCGATCGCTGTCGGGTGGTGTGCGGTTGCCGTCGGGTGTGTGCGGTTGCCGTCGGGTGTGTGCGGTTGCCGTCGGGTGTGTGCGGTTGCTGTCGGGTGTGTGCGGTTGCCGTCGGGTGTGTGCGGTTGCCGTCGGGTGTGTGCGGTTGCCGTCGGGTGTCTGACCGCCGGCTGTCCGCCTCCGCAGGCGCCGGCCTCGACTTCACCATGGTGTCGTACAACGTGCTGTCGCAGCACCTGCTGGGCTCGATGCGGGACCTGTACGAGGGCTCCGACCCGCTCCACACCGCCTGGGAGACGCGCGGGCCCCGGCTCTGGCGCCAGGTGGTCCGGCTGAAGCCGGACGTGAGTTAGGTCTTCGCTGTGTCGTATGGGACGGAGTAAGACCTCCGCTGTGTTGTGTGGGTAGATGTTGGCTGCGTCTCGGGTGTGTTTTGTGGGGGCGGATGGGAGCGGGACCTCCGCTTTGTCGTATGGGACGGAGCGAAGACGTCCGCAGTGTTGTGTGGGTAGATGTCGGCTGAGTCTCTGCCGTGTTGTGTGTGTGTGGGGGGGGGGGGAGGGGAATGGGAGCGGGACCTACGCTTTGTCGTGTGGGATGGAGTAAGATCTTCATTGTGTTGTGTGGGGTGGATGTTAGCTGGGTTACGTGAGGTGGATATTAGCTGGGTCTGCTATGTTGTGTGGGGCGGATGTTAGCTGAGTCACCGCTGTGTTGTCGGGGGGGGGGGGGGGGGGGGATGTTGGCTGAGTCTACTCTGTTTTGTGTGGGGCGGATGTTAACTGGGTCTGCTATGTTGTGTGGGGCGGATGTTAGCTGAGTCTCCGCTGTGTTGTGTGGTGCGGATATTAGCTGAGTATCCGATGTGTTGTGTGGGGCGGGTATTAGCTGATTCTCCGCTGTGTTGTGTAGGGGGATGTTAGCTGAGTCTCTGCTGCATTGTGTGTGGATGTCTTTTGGATGCCTTTGGAAGGGTGCTTTTTGACGACCGTAGTGCGGGGTTGCATCCAATGTGCTAAATTGCCTGTTGCACAGTTGTTTGGTTTATTGGGACATTTGTTGTGTTCTGTCACTCAGGTGGCTTCTACCATTTCAGATTATCTGCCTGCAAGAAGTGGAAGAAGGAGACATTGATGCATTCTGGATACCTCGTTGTAGAGAGGAAGGTTAGCACATTTCTCCCCTATGCTCACCAGCCCTGCGCACAATTCCTGCTTTCGTTTTTTGTGTCGACTGAGGGCTCTCATGCTCGGCACGTTATTTTTCTACCTGCCTCAGACATGTCACGTGATTCAGCTACCACCCAACGGCATCGGCCGTCGGCCGGTCGGCCGGCACGTGGCGGACCATGCGGAGGGCGGTCTCAACACCCTCCGGTGCTTTGCCGCAGGACTCCAAATTCTGTACAAGCGGCGCACGGGCCCGGACAAGAAGGACGGCTGCGCGCTGCTGTACCGCGAGGCCCGCTTTGAGCTGTGCGAGGAGGCGACCGTCGAGTACCTGCAGCGCGACTGCCCGTCGCTCGACAGAGACAATGTCGGCATCGTGGCCAGGCTTAGGTGCGTTTTACGAGCGATAGATGGCGCCAGGAGGCGCGAGAGGGCTTTGGTTTTTCTTGAGTACGTGGTTGTTGGCTATTGACTGAGCGTTTTATAACTGATGTGGCCATCACTAGCGCCACATGCATTGTTGGACCATGTTTCGGCCTACACTCCCCCTGCAGCGCGTGACCAGCTGTCGTGGCTGGCCTGGCATTAGCTCCTGACCTCCCTCTGCCCCGGCGTGAGTGACCTGACCTGACCTCACCTCGGGTGTAAACTCGCCGCTTTCCCCAGGAGCGACCGAGGCGACCTGGTGGTGGCCTGCACGCACCTGCTCTACAACCCGCGGCGTCACGATGTCAAGCTGGCGCAGGTGGCGCTGCTGCTGGCCGAGGTGGACCGGCTGGCCTGGTGCGGGCGCACCGAGCGCCACCTGCCCGTCCTGCTGGCCGGCGACTTCAACCTGGAGCCCTTCTCGCCCGTGAGTGGGCGGCGCCGGGTGCTGGGCTGAAACCTGCTGACCGGGATGGAAGCGTCCTGCCCAGAGGCGCATGAGGCGACCAGCGGGGAGAGCGGGCCAGGCATGAGGCGACCAGCGGGGAGAGCGGGCCAGGCGATGAGGACCTGGCGCTCATTGCTGGACGGTTCTAGAGCTATCTGGAGGGGGGGGGGGGAGTCCAGCTGGTGATGCGTCACCCGCCGGCCAAGTCTGTCGTCACTACCCAGGCGGGCAGGATGGTGTGGCTCATGTGCAGGCCTGTGTGGAACCCGCGCTCAGTACACCGCGTATGTGCCTGTTCCGGCAACGTATACCATCGCATGTGCGTCGTGCTATCCCAACACCATAGTATGTCATCTCGCCGGTCCAGACCACGCCACGATTCATGGAGGGCGTAGGTATGACGCCACCCCATCAGCACGCCGCGCCGGTATTGAAAATCCGCCCATCGGCCCACGTCGACCTTGCATAACGCCGCCGCCGCCGCCGCCAGGTGTACGACTTCCTGCGGCACGGCTGGCTGCAGTACGGCGGCATGTCGCGACGCCAGCTGACGCCGTTCGGCGGCGGCGAGCGCCTGCTGGGCCCGCTGCTGCCGGCGCGGCTCGGCGTCAGCGCCCTCTGCCAGCACGCGGCCGTGCAGGCGCGCCGCCGCTACCGGCCGCGCGAGAGCGAGCCCGACCGGCGGCGCGCCGAGCGCGGCCTGGTGGCGCTGGCGCACAGCGAGCGCACGGCGCCGCTGCCGCCGTTGCCGCTGCACCAGCTGGTGAGCGAGGCGCAGGGCTGCCTGGGCCACGCGCTGCGCCTGCGCTCGGCGTACCCGCACGGCTCGCCACGCGTCACCGGCGTCACCACCAAGCAGGGACGCTGGACCACAGTCGACTACATATTTCATAGGTGAGGCGGAAGGGTAGGGGCAGTTACTGCTGGTGATGGTTGTAACGTGCTTACGCTGAGCCGGTGTTGGTGGCGTGGGAGTTGCGCCTTTTGTGTGGTTCTGGGGGTCTTAACGGGGACTTAGTGGGAGTGTACAGACGCCTTTGCAGAGTGTCTTGATGTTCTGTGCCCGTCTGTCGTGTCAATCTCATGTCTCTCCGTCTCTTCCAAGCCTTATTTCCGTTGTTGACTCACGCGCTCTGTTACGTGACATGCCTGTTGTGCGTGCCGTGATAGGACGGCGAGCTGCTATGGGTCCTCGGCTTTGCGAAGTCTGGCCCAACCGGCACAGGCCACAGGAGCTATCACTGGTACTGGCCGGAAGTGTGAAATGGAAGGGGCGGTTGCACCTGGTGCGCGTCGTCGTGTCTCGCGGCATGTTTGGAAAAAAGTGGAGTCCCTGGCAGCAGAACTGTGATGTGCTTGGACCACCGTTCGTTCCCTTGGAGCGGAACGGTGCGGTTGCTGTCTGTGTCGTTTTCTGTGTGAGGTGATCTCGCCGTTTTCACACGAGGTGGTGCGGGCCTGTGTGTACGCGAATCGTACCGTAGGATCTGAGTGGTGTACTGGGTGTCGCCAACTACAGTGCCCCGTTGTGGCGCCACCACCGTGTGCCGGCCGTCTTCACCCCGCCTGTCTGTGTTTGTAACTCGACAGTGCCACTACGGTGTACCGTCCGTTCTCATCCTAGCCTGGCTGTGGTTGTAGCTCTCGACTGTGCCGCAGCGTGGCGCCACTGCCGTGTTCCGTCCGTTCTCATCCTAGCCTGGCTGTGGTTGTAACTCTCGACTGTGCCGCAGCGTGGCGCCACTGCCAGGCGCCTCGGGTCTGCGGCTGCTCTCGCGCCTGGCGCTGCCTACGGCCAGCCTCTGCCAGCAGCTGCGGCCGTATCCCAGCGAGGCGCTGCCCTCCGACCACCTGCCGCTGGCCGCCCAGTTCCGGCTGTGCCCACCCGCTACCTGGTGGTCCGACCCCACCAGCTGACCGGGCCCGGGCGCCGGCCAACACCGGTAGTCTGGAGCGGCCGCTGGCTGGAGGCTGTGGCCTGTAGTTAACGCAGGGGATGGGACTGAGACGTGCAGGGGGATGGGACTGTCCGCCGACCCAGGTTTCAGACGAAGTCGGCGGTAGGATCCACGCCCGCTCCTCCGTGCTGGATGGTGCAGGAGCAGGCGAGCAGATCACCTCCGGCTGGTGCCGCCACGCGCACCGGGGCGGGAGTGGGCCGCCTGGCCGACACGTGCCGGCCAGTGTGGCTGCGTGATACAGCCGCGCCCTTGTACAAACGCTCGGTCCCGACGTTCGTGGATTGAGTGTGTTGCCAAATGACAAACTGCTGGCACGTCGCTGTGCGGCGTGTCGCTTGGCGTGCGCTCATTAATACATAACTTACGGCGCGTCCACTGAGGATTCGGATTTGTTGCATCGAGCGGATACCGCGCGTAGATACATGGTATCTACCATGTATTTAGGCACCTAGCCTATCAATTGCTGTGAAAATTTTTAAGGCTAAAATATTGAGATAATGGGCGCCATATTGTCTCAGGGTAGCCGAATGTATAGTCAGATACAGAGGCGATGGCCCACAGCGGCTTGCGGTCAATCGATGTCTGGAATAGTAATTATGGTGCTCTGTAAAGGTGCGCAGTCGGGTGTGTCATCAGTAACAAAACCAAGTGAGGCAAATAAATTATTTGGAACAGGAGTCCAAAAGTACACGACATAGCAAAAGCTCTTCCCCAAAAGTTAGATTCGTGGCGCGCGAGCCGATCGAGATATCGCCATAAACCGACGCCAGGCGTTGCAGTCACTATATGCTGGGCGGCGCCCGCTGCCGCAGGTCACACCAAGCTGTGGGCGGCAAACGATACAAAATGCTTTTGCGCATGGAAACGATGCCACCGAGCGCTCCTTGAGCCGTCGTACGAGAATGTCCCGGTCTGAGGTATAATGTGCGGATTAGACATTGTCCAATTGATTGCCCTATGGCGGAGACTGGGGGGAGGAGGCGGGCGGGTTAGGGTGACCCCACGCACATCTTGCTCCTTGACGAGCCTGCGTATTCGATACACCGGCCCAAGCAGCAGCTGCTCACAGACCGGAGACCCAAAACGCGTGACGCGTGTTGGCGGAGATCGCACGGTAACAAATACCATCGCAACTGGGTTTCACATATCGCCGAAGCTCCAGCTCCAGCCCCAGACGTCCTCGACAGTGCGGCGTTGGTTGCACTCCTTGTGTGAACCAGACAGGGCGAGATTGCCAGTGGAGCCTGCACTTCGTTCCGCAGCTCGCAGTCGCTGGGTCTCGCAGTGGAGGCTGTGTGACTGGTCCGTGCCAGGGGAATCAGGTCGGTGTATCTCACGGCCTCGAAGTTTAAATCTGGGATGGCGAAGACCTTGGGCTGAAGAAGGCCCTCGGTTTGCTGTTCAAGAGCGGTGCGACGATCGGAACCACCTGTTCGCGGACCATGCGGTTCCCATCCCACACCATGCCCAGCAGCAGCTGCTCCGGACCGACCTAGTACCCGTTACGCTGGAGGACCGGCTGCACCGTGGCCTATGTTTGCTGCGGCAGCTCGCGGAGCAGAGCGATGCTCCGGAACAAGTCGCGTAAGCCAAAGTCACAGCCGCTGTTTTGCCGGATGGCGGACCATAGCGCAACATAGTGGTCGACCACGCTATGGACGAGGCCCTCGAGAGCCCTACTGGAGGTTTCGATAGTGATGTAAACTAGGAGCAGGCGAGCGGCCAGTGTCAACCATCTGAAAGCAAAAGCGAATATATTAGAACAATTTGTTGCGAACTGAGCATTAGATCACACAAAAATTATTGCGCCTCTGAAGTGCATGTAATTACGCCGATATTCAGAGTCTTTAAATGTGACGGAATGGATGTCAACAAATATACCAGTAAACATGAGCCAACGAGCAAATAATGCGACCTAATACGGCACAAGGGATGATTAAAAGTAGATGCTCAACAGTGAGCACATAAAATATCAATTGATACTTGAAGTTTAAACACTCAGCGCTATAAATTCTTGGCTCCGTGTGGCTCATGTAGCTCCTGCCTTCCCGACCGTCAGAGTAGAGGATGGTCAAACCTGATTCGTGGATTGCTCCAACATTTTGACGAGCCGTCTCCTTTCTCGCTCTGTCTCTTACGCAGCATATCTTCTTGGATTTATGATATTTGATTTCAAGTAGCCACTCCGTCTCTGCTGTCTTCTTGAAAGGCATTGATGATAGAAGCAGCGGCCCGGTTCGAGCTACCGTAGCTGTCAGCCGCCTGAGCGGTGTTAGTCAGATCGTTAACGTTGCAATCTACGGTGACAGTGGTTTCAACAGGAACGAACAATCGGCGTTCTAAAAAACAAGTCGCCACCTTCTACCGTGTACGGAACGGTGTAGGAATCCGTGCTCCTGGCTGAGTCGCCAGCGCTGAGACCACTTGGTCCCGAAGCAGGCTTAATAAAACGGCAGCTAAAAGCTGTTTCGCAAAGTTTTGCTGACGCTCTTCATGATATATATATATATATATATATATATATATATATATATATATATATATATCATACATAATCCACCAGGTACCGGTAGTGTGGAAAGGGACAAGTTTGAGACTTGTTGGAGGATGATCCCAGTGCGTAAAATAGGTGGCGCTAGTATCGCATACGACGTTCTTGGCGTATCAAGGAAAAACTGCTCTCGCTTCACGAATATCAACATCGGTGCGGTGCGACAGACCTGACAGTTTATCATTCATCCGTCTGCCAAGGAAAAACTTTGTCTCGGTTGATTCCAAGAGATTCATCCCCTCGATGACACGCTCCAGTGCACAGCTCCAGTGACTAACCGGGAACGCAGTATGCTTTGGGACCGTCATGTTCCGGTCAGCATCTCTATATGAGGCTATGAATGACAACCATTTAGAAGCTTAAACAGCATCCCATCGAATAAAATGTTCCGCAGTGACGATGGGTTAAACTAGCAAGCTGAATGCTGCTCGTCTTGCGCTACGCAATGCTTGCCGATGTCTTTGACAATCTGCGCCATACCGACATATTGCGTTGTTAATATGAGCTCAGTAGAGCTTAGCATAGCTACCGCCATTCCTCGCAATTAAGGAATCCAGAGGTTTCTTACGGTGGACCAAAGAATATGAAAATGCCTTTATTTCACGTGAGTGACCATTGAGAGATTGTTTCAAAACACAGTTTTTCTTATAGATATGCAAAATAGCATTACCGCCCGCATGACCGCGCTGGTTAACTATAGCCAGTTTTGCCCCTCGTGCCTTGAACTGTTCTCGTCTAGGAGGCCCCGAGGCGGCCTCGAAGCCGGTCTAGGAGGCCCCGAGGTGGCCCCGGAGCCGGTCTAGGAGGCCCCGAGGCGGCCCCGGAGTCGGTCTAGGAGGCCCCAAGGCGGCCCCGGAGCCGGTTTAGGAGGCCCCGAGGCGGCCCCGGAGCCGGTCAAGGAGGCCCCGAGGCGGCCCCGGAGCCGGTCTAGGAGGCCCCGAGGGGGGCGCGGAGCCGGTCTAGGAGGCCCCGAGGTGGCCCCGGAGCCGGTCTAGGAGGCCCCGAGGCGGCCCCGGAGTCGGTCTAGGAGGCCCCAAGGCGGCCCCG